ACCGTAGTATCACATATAATACCTGGGGTTCGATTTTGAAATTGATATGTTTTAAGCTCGTAAAGTTATTCAATTTGTTTATAAGCCTAAAAAATGTTTAAAAATTTAAAAAAATTTCTAGACTCTCCTAGTGAACCGATTTGAATTTTACAAAAGGCGTTTGAAAGTTTGAGCCTTCCTTTATATGTAATCAAATTTGCAACTCTCTGAGGGCCTTATTTAGGGCCTACTATAAATTTGAAAATTTGCGTTTTTTTTCAGTAGGCTGTATTGCAAAATTATTATGCAAAACCTATCTGACCGAACTTAACAAAATGTAGCCATGTCTTAAACATATTAAAAAGTTTTTCTAGGCGGAATATGGAGCTTGTGTGTCAAGTTTAGAAAGTCGAAAACATTTAAAGGATTAACTTAATTTTTTGTACATTTTTTCCAATTATTGCAATTTTTTCAACAATAAACATTAAATTTTCAATTTCTAGCTAACGAAATATTGTGTAAAATTGAATAACGAAACTTTTAACTTTTTATAATTTTTTCTCTAGGATCAATATTTTCCGAATTACAAACAAAAGTAGGAGCAAAAAAATTAGACATTTTCAATTGTTTTCAGATTTCAGATATCGTGATTATCGATATTCTGCACATCCTGAAGGGATTCCAGCAAAAAAATAGCTTCCTATGGAAAATGTCCATTATGGTCTGAATTTCTACAGATCTCGCCTAGTCTATTATAGTGCATCTTTCATTTTTCTATAATTATCGAGATAAAAATTAGATTCAAAAAATATTTTATAAACATTGCCTTTCTTTATTTTATAAACATCACCAAATTAGACACAAAAAATATCTGTACTTTATATACACAAGAAAACCTAAAAATATAAAACCTACTTGATTTGTTTCGACTTGGAAAAGCCTCCTAATTGACGTGATGAGTTATATCTGCACTGTAAGCTCTTCTGCAAAGCATAATGGGCTTATTATTGTAGAGAAAATATATGAACGCGCGTATAAACCTTCTAAAATATCATCGGCATACATCGTAAATTTTAAGTTTGAAAATATTTATTACCTTTTCATGCCAACTCAGCAATAAAATTTATTTGTTGTGACAAAAATAATTTTTCACTTATCTTTGAAAAAATACAGTTAAATTGTTATTTAGTTGGGTGTTTCAATACATTTAATAGTATAAATAATAGTGTAAATAGTATAAATTAAAACCGTCTGACGTGATAAATATATTACCTTCTAGCATATTGGGAGTTCAAAATCCGGTGTTACGGTCGAAATTTTAGACTCCAAAGGTCACTGTACAACAGAGACAAATATTGTTAACGATACAGGCACTATTTATACAGGCTGGAAGCTCAGCATTTTATATTTTTGTTAGAAACCATCAGTGATACTACAGCCTTAGAAGGCCTCGACATTCTAAAGTTTCCTGCTCTGTTGGGGGATGGGTAAAATCAGATGGAGGTCACCATTTGGACTTTTCTTGGTTGCATCGGTCGTGTTCCCAAAACATAGACTAAAATCATTGCCTAGTGATCTTAACATTGAGGGCTAGGATTTCAAACACCAGTAAAGAAAATAAAATGTATACAAAAAAATGGAATGTGCAAAGGCCGAGAGTACACGGAAAACATCACCAACAGGCTAAAGAATCAAAATGTAAATGAAGAAGACCAAACAAATATAGACTCCTACTGAACCAGAATAAAGGAAGACATTGAAGCAGCAGCGAAAGATGAAATAGGAACAGAAATTTGTGCCCGTAAAAATTATTGGTTTGACGAAGAATGCAAGAATACAACATAAGAAACAAATGAAGCCTACAGAAAATACTTACCCGACGAACCAGAACAACAACAATAGAACAGCAACCAGACAAAGAGAAGACAAGAAAAGAGGATACACAAAAGAAAAACTAAATAAGGAACATAAATATATAGAAAACTTCAACAGAGAGCAAGAATTCAGAGCATTCTGTAATACAGTTAACATCAACAGAAAATAATTCAAGGATATTAACAACAAGGAAAGAAAAAACTAGCCAGAAACAAATCACCAAGAATAGATAGTCAACCAGTTGAATTATATAAAAAAGGTGGCCATGACATGATAATGGCATTACAGCAGCTTCTAAATGCAGCGTATAAAATATTTTCCAGAGTACTATGTCCAAGAGAGAAATAAGAGAAATGTTCAAAGCAATGAAAGAGCTAGGAATACCAAATCAGTTGGTAAATTTAACAAAACTAACTCTTGAAACAGTTGAATGTAGAGTACGCATTCAGGGGGAACTGTCTAAACCTTTAAACCCAAATAACGGGCTGCGCCAGGGAGAGCCTCTTGCCTGTATACTGTTCAATTTGGCTCTGGTAAATTTAATCCGTATGTCACAAATCACAACCACTGGTTTAATAGGTATATAATAAATAAAAGACGAAAACTTGTACGTAGAAGATGCGATGAGATGGCAAACATACCCAATATTACAACTCAACATGCAAGAAAAATTCCAGGAAAAAAAATGTTTGAAGACGAAGAATATTTTGGTTTAATAATCTGGTTTAATAAGTTGGTTTAATAAAATTGATTTAGCGGTTTAATAGCCGGGTAATAGCCTAATAGTTTGGTAATAACTTTTTGGCAGTAATCAGAAAGGTTATTCCTCACAACTTATAACATTCAAGTTGGTTTCCCTTGTTGTGCAATTGGCACATCATGTTTCTTTCTATACCCAGATTTTACAAACTATATTTATAGTACATGGCTTTGGTTATTTATTGTACACCATGATTCTACTATGGCGAGCTCCAAAAATTCCTTATTTTGGAATCTAGTTCTGTATTAAAATCCACAAGGAAAAATTCCTGTAGCTGGCTGTATACCACGTATAACAAAAAGAGGTTAATCTTTGTAAATGGGTATATTTATTTAAAAAACCCTTAAAAGGGCCACATCAATAAAACAAACGTTTTCGGACCACACAGTCCATTATCAGGTTTTTAAAATCGAAAAATGCTAGGTCACAATGCCTGAGCCACCAAAATACTAGGGTAAAAACCCTTTAAATTACATTTATTTATGAAATATTGTACATTTTGTTGTAAAATAACTGTGATGTTCAGTATTAAATTAAATTTGACTATAGGTAACACATGGCTCAATCTGGTTCCAGAGCCGGTGAGAGAGAACCTCTACACTCGGAGAACACTCTACTTTTTTTTTTTTTTTTTTTTTTTTTTTTTTTTTCTTATTAGTTCCACGGATAACAGCTGGAAACTCAAACTCAACTCAGTTTCCAGCTGTTCTCCGTGTGTAGAGGTTTACTCCCCGGCTCTGGAACTCACTTCGGCAATGTATGTTACCTGAAGTCATATTTAATTTAATACTGAACATCACAGTTTTTTAACAACAATATGTATAATCTTTTATAACTATATGTAATTTAAAGGGTTTTTACCCATGTATTTTGGTGGCTCAGGCATTTTAACCCAGCAATTTTAAAATTTAAACCTGATGATGGACTGTTTAATCCGAAAAAGTTTGTTTTTTTTATGTAGCCCTTTTAAGGGTTTTTTTAAATAAATATACCCACTTACGAAGACTAACCTCTTTTTTATTTTTCATCTTTGGGTTATTTCTAAAAATTGTTGTTATGGGTTATTGAATTAAAAAAAATATTAATAGTTTATCAAGTTATTTCTAGCAAAGTAAATATCTTTGTAGATATTTGCATTTTAATATAACCATAGCGAAAACCTATAAAAACAATCCCAGACATCCTGCTTGTTTAAGGACTTTTAAAATTATCCCTATCAAAAATTTATTAATAGAAAATAGGTACCCCACAATAATTATCTTATCAACATTTTATTATAAACAGAATTCTAAATAAATACGTGGGCGAAGGTAATAATAATCCTATCTCGACAATTTTAGTCTCTACACCGAACTACTAGTGTCACCACTTTCGGACTATTAAGTTAATAACACTATTCAGAATTCTTGGTAACATAATATTCTATTTTACCTATGACAGTTATTACAAGCTTAAAATTATATTGAAAGTGTCGTTGTTTGAGGAAACAAATTGGTACTAAAAATATCAGATTGGTGTAACAAAATAGTTTGAGTTTAAGAAAAGTAGACATTTTAATCATTTGGAAAAGTTTCAAATTTTGTTTACATATGAAAAAAGTAAAAACTATTTCTCAATCCACGAAATAATAAATATTAGGATAAATTGTACAATTCTATTATTCTTATTAGTGTAAACGGTGTTTTTGAGAACTTAATTAGTTTGTGATTATTTATAAAAATTGTTGCAATGTATATTGAGCTGTTGAGCAAGTTGTTGCAGTTCTTCTAGTGCACCTAGTTAGCATATCTTATGTTATTTAGTGGCTCATAGTTTATTATTTGGCCTTTAGTTAGCAGTAGGAGGGGTAATATTGCGCGGCTAAGCGGAAACATCCAAGAAATTTACATTTTACACAATAAAAATGTTTGGTTTAAGATGTTATAGGAATAAAAAAATTAAAATATATATTACTAAATATTTAATACATATTACTAATATATAATTTAATATTTACTATTTTTAATAATTTAATAAACTTGGAAACAATCTAACACATTATCAACATACTTAACAGGTTTTTCAAATATTGTATTAAAATAAACGTCGTTTCGATAATTCTGCTTTTTAATATTTGCAGAGCAGAGATCAAAATCGCTACTATCTGACAAATCAATTTCTAAGGAATGGTTCAAAATAATCTTCATCTTCAATACGTCTCTTCTTATGTACAGTTTTATTATTCTTAACAACATTAACTTTTCGTTTTCATTTTTTTTCTATTATATCGCCAGTTTGCTCTCTCTTTGCTTGCTTCTCAGTTTTCGCATCTCGCTTAGCTCGTTCAAGAGTAGAATATCCTTCACTGATGTAGTAGTCCAAATTTCTGATTGTTGTCTCTTTGTTTTTAAGTAGAATTTTTAAATAATTTCTTTGCTATGGGAGCTACATGATGTGATACTTTAACGACACCTGAATATGAAGGTAAAGGACCAGGTTTAGCTGTGGATGTTGATGGTGTCTGCTCCGCAGAAGCTCTTGATGTCGATGTTGTCTGTTCCGTAGTAGCTCTTGATGTCGATGGTGTCTGTTCCGTAGTAGCTCTTGATGTTGATGGTGCCTGTTCCGCAATAGATCTTAATGTTGATGTTGTTGATTCAGAAATGTTTTCACTTGCTCCTCGTTCAGCCCCTAAAACAAGTTCTCTAAACTGGTCAGCTGCTGCAAAGTTCTCTAAACTGTTAGGCTGTGTCCAACTAAGCCTTTCTCCTAAAACTTGATGGGTTAAAAGAAAATATTCCGGTTGTTCTGATTAGTTGCTATCTTTAGTTATGCGTGATTGAACAAGCGAGCCAGATCATACACCGTGATCTTCTGATGTGCAGTCGAAATCATATATGAGAATCATAAATGGCAAAGACAGCTTTTTTAAGAGGACCAAAAATGACAAATCGATGGACTGGAGGTGGTTTGATGTATGAGGTAGTATTATGAGAAGCACAATATAATTTTCTCTGCAGAAATTATAAACATCCAATTATATATGGCTTGGATGATTGTCCAAAACCATCAAACTAGATCGGCTTCAGTTGATTTTATATATTTCTGTAAATGCTTAAGCATTTTAAGAACAACAAATCGTTTGACCATCCGTTGTTTGAACATGCATATATACATTCTATTGGACTATCTCTCTCTAAATGTGGACATAATAGTTTCCTAGGATAAATTATTATTGGCGGGACGCAGGAACCAGAACCACTAACAGCACATAAGAAGGTCTGTCTATCCACGTTCGGCTGAAATAGCAACACCCACTTGTTATTGTCCTCTTTTGGCATAAACTTTTCCCAATTTTTTCTGAACGATCGTTATATTGCACTTGTCCACATTGTAGATCCTGTCGTCCCTAAATTTAAACTTGTTCAAAACATCTTAAAAAAAATTTAAAAAATGTTAGCAGCTTCAGCATTGAAGGACGATAGATAGTTTATGCTAGTGCTGCCTTCTGTTTGGCGAAGACTTGGAGACTTGGACTTATTGGAGACCGTTTTAAAAATCCTCTTAGCAAGTCTTTGCCAGCTTGTTTCATGTTTCCGTTGAATCTGTGTTTCAAATGATCACCTTCTGCGAAATCGAAAGCTATTCGTCTCAACTCCTAATGCAACAAATTTGCCAATTTTATTATGTGATCTGCTAACTCTGCTTCTTGTTATTTGGTAAATACTGCTTTCCTTTCCTTACCATGCAGTCAGTTACAGCCGGAGCTAGATTTTCAAAACCTCTTGTCCTTAAATTATTACATATTGTTGAGTCCTATATTGTAACTATTTTGGCACCTATATTAATTGCAGCTATAACTTTATTAAGCAGCTCAATTTACCAGAATATTGTAATCTGAAATGAAAACGAAGTGTCATCAATAAATGTAAATTTCTTTTCTCTTTTTTTTTAATGTTTTTTCCTGAGAATTGGTAAAAATAAAACATAACTAGTTAAACGACGATCATCTTTAGTCATTAATACCATGAAATGTTTATTTTCTTTACCAAAACTCAGAAAAAAGATTACAAAAATGTTGTCAATAAAACAAGTGAGGGGCAATAACTCGCAAAAAAAAATAAATTTCCAGTTAACGATGAAAAAGGTCGATATGAAACTGTGACTAAATGTGTAAATCTAAACAAAATCAGCAAATTTATCCGATGTTTATAATTGTTTTGATGAAAAAATATTGGGTATATAATACAACAAAGTAACAGTACAGACAACGAAATTAATGAATTTTACCATGTATTAAAGCAAGCACTAAATAACACAAAAAAAACACGAAATTTGTGTAATAATGGGAGACTTCAACGCTAAAGTAGGAGAAGACATAACTCCCGGAATTACTGGAGGATTCGGTCTTGGTCAAAGAAACGAAAGAGGTGATAGATTGATTGAGTGAGTGGAGTTCTGCTAAGAGGAAAACTTTGTTATCACCAACACATGTTTTAAACAACCAAAAAGACGACTCTATAAATGGATATCACCGAGATATGGCCATGACAGTGTAATGCGTAACCAAATAGATTATATCATGATTAACAATAGATTTCGAAACTCATGTAAATGTACTAAGACATATCCAAGTGCCGACGTAGCCACCGATCACAATTTACTGGCATCTAGAATCAACCTAAAATTAAAGACAATCAAAAAGCCTTCCATTACAAAGAAATACGATAGACAAAAACTAAAAGAAGAAGAATTTAAACATCACTTTGAACAGACAATGAACGAAAAAATTCGAGACAACATCACACAAGTATACAATGTATCAACAGTAGAAGAAAGATGGGATAACATAAAGAATGGTATCATCGATACAGCAACGCAAAGTGGAACTGTCACCCATTATAAAAAGCAAGCGTGGATGACAGATGAAATAATCGAAATGATGGACGAAAGAAGACAGCTTAAAAATAGAAATAACTCAGAGTATAAACGAAAGTATAATCTGATTCGAAGAAAAATCAGGGAAGCCAAAGAGTTATGGATGCGAAGCAAAATGTGAGGAACTAGAAGAATTGCAACAAAACATGACGAATTTAACACACATAAGAAAATAAAAGAAGTTACAGTACACAAAAGAAATACACCCATAACATTAACGAATAATGAAGGTCATGCACTATCCCTAGAAGACGAAGTAATGGAGGAATGGGAAAACTACATTAAAGCATTATTTAAGGATGATCGAGGATCACAACCTAACTTAAGTGCAAATACAGGACCATCAATCTTAAAAGCTGAAGTGGAAAAAGCCATACACTAAGCCAAAAACAACAAAGCCAGTGGACTAGATCAAATATACAGCGAATGGCTAAAGTTACTCTCAAATGACAATATAAAAGAACTCACTGTACTTTTCAATCAAATATATGATACCAGTGAAATTCCATCGGACTGGTTAAAATCGATCTTTATTCCTCTACCTAAGAAACCAAACGTTAAGAAATGTAGCGATTGTAGACTCATTAGTTTAATGAGCCATGCCGTTAAAATACTGTTGCATATTCTTCTAAACCGAATTAACAACAAGTGCGAAGAAATAATTAGTCAAGAGCAGTTCGGGTTCCGGAGATGCCTTGGAACTAGAGAAGCACTATTTTCTAAGCAAAAACTCCTTCAACGATGTTGGGAGGTAAGAAAACCCGTATATATGTGCTTCATTGATTTTGAAAAGGCATTTTATCGCGTTCAGCATACCAGACTAATTACCGCCTTGCAACGCATCCAGCTAGATGAGAAAGACATCAAACTTATTGCCAAACTTTACTGGAACCAAACAGCCATTATTAATACCAACAATATCTCCCACCCTCTTTAACGTGTATTCTGAGAATCTATTTGGGGAAGCTTTAAAAGATCAAAAAGGAATTATCATAGGAGGAGAAATAATTAACAATATACGGTACGCCGACGATACTGTGATTCTAGCTGAAAACATCGACGATCTGCAGGAGCTAATCAGTAGAGTTGACATGGAATGCACAAATTGGGGACTGTCGATAAATATCGATAAAACTAAATACATGGTGACCAGTAAAGTGGATATCGGCGCAACCATGATATTAAACCAACAACCGCTGCAGAGAGTTCAGAGATTCAAATACCTTGGATGTTGGATTACCCAAAATCTAGATCCATCCTTCGAAATTCGATGTAGAATTGAACAGGCAAGAAACTCATTTCAAAAATTCAAGCCTCTATTATCCAATAACTCATTAAATTTGGAAATCCGTGAAAAGACAGATGTTACGTGTGGTCTGTACTTTTGTATGGATGTGAAACTTGGACTTTAAACGCCGATATCATGAATAAAATCGAGGCGTTTGAGATGTGCTTGTATCGAAGGATACTAAAAATTCCATGGACTAGCAGAACCAGAAACGAAGAAGTTCTTCGAAGAATGAGACATCAACGAACTTTATTAAATATTATTAAGAGGCGTAAACTAGAATATCTTGGGCATATAATCAGAGGACCAAGATATGAGTTCCTTCGGCTAATTCTCAACGGTAAAATCGAAGGAAAGAAATGGATAGGACGGAAGAAACTCTCTTGGTTGAGGAATTTGCGGCAGTGGACAGGTTTGACAGCGGACCAATTGCTACACGTAGCGCAAGACCGAGATCAGTATAATAATATTATAAGCATGGTATTCGCCGACGTTCCGTAGGGATATGGCACTCTAAGAAGAAAAATACAACAAAAATTATAGCTTACTATAGCCTGAAATATCTATGGACAATTTTTTCTTTAAATTTAAACAAATTTTAAGGTTTGAAAAAATTAAAATTTTCCGTGATCTATAAATAGGACGCTCACATATAATGGGTTAAAAAATAAATGCTATTTGTCACTGTTAAACTGAGAATTTTTCTGTTGCCCCCGTATTCCAATAGAATCATAAACAAACATACAAAAATATATATTTACATACAGATTTGAGAAGTGTATATCCCCAATAAACTCTTTAGTCTGCGCCACTAATAAGCACAGTTGATTCAAACCGTTGGCCATGAACTATTAGTTATGTAATAAGCAGTTGAACATTTACTACACTGGTTAATGCACTTATGTTACCATATTCTTACTTAACTCTCGGTTTAATAATTTAAATTCAAGGAGATCTATCGTCAAAAGACCAACCGTTCACAATGAAGTCTAGAAAATAATGTTACTTAACTCCGTATATTTGTGAAATAGTTACCTAAGTTGATATTTTAAAAATACAAATGTCTTCGGAAAGACAATAACGAGATTTATTTCGTTTTAAAATAATTAGGTAATAATATAGTAAAGCTGGCTAGCATGCCAACATATGAATAAAATACAAAGAATTTTTAGTTTTATTAAAAATAAAGATATTTATAGGTCATATAGATCACTGAGGAAGTGAGACACATGGCAGACGAATGGGGGAGAAGTATAAGAAGTATCAAGGTATAAATTTCATTAGAGATAGTGCAAATACTCCTGACCATGGAACTGCGGAAGGCAGAGTCAAAATTCACGTAAAGGTAGAAAGGTTCTATTGTAAGTAGAATTATGCTAACCAAACTGAAACGTTCTACTATTCACGTTGCATAGAACAGTGCGTTTCGTGTGCTTGCACTATCTCTACCATCATTCTATCTTTGCTTATCCACTGCTGGACATAGATCTCCCTCATAATTTTCCATATTTTTCGACATTGTGCCTCTTGCATCCAAGTCCTATGGCAACGTTATAGATCGTCCGTCCAACCTGTTAGTGAAAGACTTCTGCTTCGTTATCATGGATTTTACATGTAGTGACTTAGTGGGTATGTCCTATGTTTTTAATATTATTTTAATTATGACGTCTACTTGTTAGTTACGAATTTTTCAATATATTTCTTCAAAAAGGCATGGATTTCCTGCCGAAACGTCATGGAAAAATATATGAAAATGTTTTAGTATCAAATCAAAATTTTTTTATGAACCTTAGCCCAAGAAAATCAACTAAAAAAATATATATTAAGGTTCAAGAACTAAACTCAAACTAGATATATATATATATATATATATAATATATATATATATTATATATAAATATTATATATATATATATAATAATATATATATATATATATAATATATATATATAGATATATATAAACTTTAACCAAATTAATCTTTACCTTGGATTAAACCGTCTTAACGAAATCAAATTACTTTACTAAGAGAAGTAACTCATCATTGTGCTTTTATATTATAATGCCCGTGTATAATTAGTTACAACACAAGAAAAAGGATCATGTCTCCTTGTCCCCTTTTATGGGTTCTTTATAATTATATAGTCGTATCTCCTGTAGTTTGCTGATCATAATCGCCATTTGGTAATTAGGAATGGTAATAAAAGGTTTTAAGCATTAAAACAATTTGTTTCAATTTGTCAGTGGCTTTTACTTTTCAGTTATTACAAAAAATATTAAAAATTCTCAGAAGACTACCCACAATTATAATAAGAAAATCTAAGGTATTTTAGTATAAAATTTCTAAATTTTTTGTATTTCTATCTATGACGTAGCATTATTAGTCGTTTCGACTACAAAAATTAATAAAGTTATGATTTATTATGTATAATTTTATCAATTATTATGATTACTTTATTATATTCTATTCACTATTGAATTCATAAACATTATCATCATTCTGTTTGCCTTTATCTATATGCGGAGTGGTTACATAAGATACTTCATGTCTAATCGTTTCATACCAAGTCTTCAACTGCTTCCAAAAACGTGAATTCGGCATTAATTTATTTATCCTTAATATTATCTTTTTTTGTCGCTTCATCCACTACCTACCTAAGCATTTTCATTTTCACGATATCCATTCGTTGTTCTTCTTTCTTTTTATAATTGTCTAACATTTAGTTGCGTTTTTCATTATTACTCTTATTGCAGTCTTATCGTATTTTCCTTTCAGTTTCATTAGAATCTTTCTGTCAGTAATATACCATTCATCTCCTTCCATTCCCTCCTCCCGTTCTAAATCCACTACATGCTTATACATCTCTTTCCCCATTACTCTGTAATACCGATCCTACATACTTAAAACTATGACTTTTCACAATTCATTATCATATATCATCCGCAGCAACAAATACATCATCAGCAGATATGAAGCACCTTTAAAGGTTACCCTGTAGTTTTTTTGATCACTGAAGTCTTCAGTGTGTTAATATGTCAAGTTAAAAGCGTCAATATTCCTAAGATTATTTCTCCATTCTTTGCAGTATGATGTCATTTGGCCACATGAACAATCCTGACATATTCATCTACACCATCCTTTTACCTCAATCTTAGTCTACTTCTTCCTCTAGTTCCCTCAGCTTTCTCCAGTAGAATTCATCTTGCAAGGTAGGTTTCAATTACTCTGGCTAGATATCATGTCGCTCGCAGACGTCTATTGCAGTGATTATATGTTTGGCTTCAGCTATTTCTTTGTACTTAGTATATTAGTTCAAAATTATATCGACAGTGATAGGTTCCACACTCATTTATCGGGCCTAGTATTTTTATCATCATCATCATCATCATTCTCAACGTATTCTACAGATTATGGTACAGCCTTCCTTACATAGGCGTTCTTCATATCTGCTCACGACTGTCTAATATTCATTTTTCTGTGACATGTTGTACCGGCTTGATTCCTTATGTCGTAGTCCCATCTTAAATCTGGATGTCTTCCTGGTGTCTTGACTGCTCTTGGATACCACAGTGTAATTGTAGAGGACCATCTATTGTTCGTTCTTCTCGCTAAATGTCCCACCCACTGCCATTTTAAAGATTTAGCTCTGTGGATTACATCAGTGACCTTGATTTTGCTATTATCTATTTCTTTAGTGTTCAAGTTTTGCAGCTATATGTCATGACAGGTAGTATACACTGATCGAATGTTTTTTCTTCACGTGGAGTGGCATCCTGAATTTGAGTATAACTGAATTTTTACCAAAAGATGATCAAGCCAGTTTCACTCTTCTGTTGATTTTGGGATAAGGTACCAGATTTATGTATTAATTGTCCCAGATGTACATACTTGTCTACTTTTTCTAGTGCAGTGTTGTTTATTATTACATCTTGGACATCCACAAGCTCGTTGTACATATTTTTTGTTTTTGTCAGATTCATTTTTATGCTAATTTCATTGCTAGCTACATTTAGGTCGCTTATAGTTCTTATATTTCTGCAGGATTATTAGCAATCAGAACGATGTGGTCTACAAATCTTAGATGGCTAAGTTATTCTCGATCAATGGGTATGCCTTTGTTCTACCAGTGTATGTTGATAAATGTATTTCTAGCGTTGCAGTGAAGAGCTTTGGTGATATTGAAAAAACATGAAAAACTCCCGTTTTATTAAAACCTTCTTTAAAACTTAAGAATATTAGTAGATGTTTGTAATTTGATAGACGTAATGCTTTCCATATGTACCTCTAGGATACACTGTTCTATCTAGTATGTTGAAATAGGTTTACCAGAGTGGCTCAGAACTACGAACTACGAACTACAGAACGATTGTTACTATTATGAGGAGGTAGAGTCAGTATGGATTAGGAGAACGAGAGACTATGGATTAGGAGAACGAAACGCACGAGGAGACCGTATGGTACAATTTTGTCAAGCGGAGGAGTTAGTAGTTGCTAACACTCTTTTTAAGTTACTTAACAGACGACTGTACACATGGAAATCTCCGAGTGACACCAAAGGTAGAGTAGTCAGAAACCAAATTGACTTTGTCCTTGTTAGTCAAAGATTCCGCAACTCTATACTCTCAGCTAAAACCTACCCAGGAGCAGATATAGGCTCGGATCATAATCCTGTAGTAGTCACATTAAGAATAAAACTAAAGATCATTAAAAAACACATACAGAAACAAATTGACGTGAGAAGACTGAATGAACAACATATAAAAGAGAAAACAATAGTGAACATCAAAGAAAATTTACAAAATATAGAGAAACTGAATAGAAATACTGATAACATAGACCAAAAATGGGAGAAAATTTAACACCGAAAGAAAGGAAACATAAAGAATGGATGAATGAGAAAAATACTATAGTTGATGTGTGAAAGAAGGGTACACAAAACAAATAATCCGATAAGATACAAAGAAACAGATAAACTGATAAAAAAGAAAATAAGAGAAGCTAGAGAAAGATGGCTAAGTGAGCAATGCCATGAGTTGGAACAATTGGAGCGAAAATATGACTTTTTTAATGTACACAAAAAGATTAAAGAAATGACAGGAAGGAGAAGAACAACACAGACAGGACAGATCAAAGATACAGATGGTATAATTATAACAGATTTACAACAAAAAATGAACCGATGGACAGAATACATACCACAACTGTTTGATGACAAAGATAGACAAGAAATCTCAAACGAATATACAGATGATACAGGGCCTGATATAATCAAAGAAGAAATAGAATATGCAATCAAACAAGCAAAAAGTGGTAAGGCCCCCGGTCCTGATGAAATTCCCGTAGAACTGCTCAAGCTTATGGACGATGAATCTATTAAAATACTCCTAGATCTATTTAACACAATATATAGAACTGGAATAATACCTAGGGAATGGCTCCGTTCGACCTTTATACTACTGCCAAAAAAGGCAAATACAAAGGAATGCAACGAATATCGTACGATAGCTTTGATGAGTCATGCTCTAAAACTGTTCTTAAAAATAATCCATAATAGGATCTATAGGAAATTAGACGTAGACATCAGTAACACTCAGATGGGATTCAGAAAAGGGCTGGGTACAAGGGAGGCTCTGTTTGCAATGAACGTTCTCTCACAGAGATGCTTAGACATAACCAAGAAATTTACGCCTGCTTTATTGATTTCGAAAAGGCCTTTGACAAAGTACAACATGAACCACTAAGACAAGTTCTAATAAACAAAAATATAGACAGCCGAGATATTCGAATTATATGCAATCTATATTGGAATCAAACAGCAAATGTCAAGGTTGAGGGCAGACTAACAGAAGAAATTCAAATCCGCCAGGGAGTCCGGCAGGAATGTATCTTATCGCCACTTTTATTTAATCTGTATAGTGAAGCGATCTGTGAACAAGCACTCGAGGAAGAAGATCTTGGTCTGATAATAAATGGTGAGACGATCAACAATATAAGGTATGCTGACGATACAGTTCTCCTAACGGGAACGCTAGTAGAACTACAACATCTCGTTCAAAGTCTTAATATATACTGTAACAGTTACGGCTTGAAAATTAATTTGAAAAAAACTAAATTTATGGTAATCACGAAATCAAAGAACATCAGAGCTAATCTTGTAATAGACAATACAACGATTGAGCGTGTGCCCTGTTATAAATATCTAGGTGCTTGGATCACAGACGATACTGATCAAACAAAAGAGATTAGATATAGAATAGAAATCGCTAGATCAGTCTTTAATAGAATGCGCAAACTCTTTTGCAATCGTGATATCAATATAAAGTTACGAATAAGAATGCTGCGGTGTTATGTCTTTTCTACCCTGTTATATGGAGTTGAGGCTTGGACACTAAAACAGTTGACCATAAAAAACATCGAAGCTTTCGAGATGTGGTGCTATAGGCGCATTCTCAGAATATCATGGATGGACCGCGTCACTAACACGCAAGTGCTCCAAACTTTAGACAGAAGATGCGAAATTCTAAATGAGATAAAAACTAGAAAGATGGAATACTTGGGGCACATTGTGAGAGGTGAAAAGTACGAACTTTTAAGAAACATCATGCAGGGCAAAAGAAGTGTGGGAAGAAGAAAAATATCGTGGCTTCGTAATCTACGTGAATGGTTCGGGTGTAGTTCGATTGAACTTTTCAGGCGCGCCGCTAACAAAGTCGCAGTGGCCATGATGATTTCAAATCTCCGCTAGGAGTGGCACGAGAAGAAGAAGAGTCAGTATGATTACACCATTATCCTTTGCCAGTTGAACAGCGTGATATGTTACGTGACTCTCGTGATTGTCGTAGATCAGTATGAAAGGGTTTTCAATTGAACTGTTGCTAAACTTGATGAAGTGTTTCATAATGTCTACAAACATCTCGCTATTCATCCATCCACTTTGATTTGCCCAACCCAGTGTGCCAGGTGGAGCACCTTGTATCATATGCTCCTTATAATATTTCCTTGGAAAACCATGACAGGGAGCAGAAATCTACCATTCGCACATACAACGGTACATGTCGTAATAAGGATACCCCTTTCACCTCTAGTACAACTATTCAGCTATTTGACACCTTTCTCCGCCACGACTTTTTTAGTTTGCTGCACTTTTGTTGTACTAGTCTCAACAAGGTATCCATCAGCTGTGTTTAATATCTATACTGATGATATATCTGTAACTTTCACGAGGTCACGAATCAAATAATGTTATTTTGACTGGCTCTCAAATGACATTTCTGTGATAATCTTGGTTGCAGAATTGAATCTTGGCGGTAAATTTGAAAAATTATTAGAATGTCTTATTATGTACCATCTCTCATTGTATACTTATCTCCCCTATCTCAATTTTTTTGGACTTATATCTATTTTTCAATTTAATCATACTTTGTATTTTATTTTTATAGTTTTTATTACACTGGGCCCAATCAAATTCAAGAAGTTTTGAGAACAGGATTACCTACTCTTTTTACTCATAAACCATCCCAGATTTAATCGGTTCATTTGGTATAAAATTCTTATAAGATTGTGCAATCACTTTTGCACTCCCATTGCTTAGGAAATCAAAGATGAAAGAAAGAAAGAAACGAACATGAGCACGGCCACCCCCGCTGTACGTGTAGAGAAAATCAATCTTCAACGATTACGTAGCCATTAGGTAAGCAATTGTTTTACGCTATAATAATC